CAAATAGCGAATACTGCCCCTAATTAATATATATCCATTATTAGAACAAGTGCATCGTCCCAGTTTTAGGTATCCTGAGTTGGTTCATTGAATCTGTACGTCACTTTCGCACGGTAGTTTTTTTTTACTGTGCACTGTTTTATCTATGAGGCTGATTCTCGAGTTCGGTAAAAATATATGTCCGCAGCCTGTCATAGACAACATTAGTAATTTGTTGGCATCGGTTAGGTAATTATCTCCCGAACAGGAAAAAACGAGTATTCCGGAAATTTATATGCCAAGCCCTTCTTTCCAAGATCGCGCATACTTTGACGTTCCATAGTAGAATGGACGTCATAGAACCACAACGATGTTAAGCAAACTCAATAGTGATCTTCCACAAATCTACAACTGATCATAGGGATAGTGCAATCAGAACGCGACACCTTCATCGGTGTGATCGTAGTGATGCAATCTTGGTGCGCGTCTTCAGGCACGAAAACGCACAATTAATAGCGAACAATTAACACAGAAACAGCTCTTCACTTACTGGGTACCATTAGATACGCAGTGACTAGTTTTGTTTAAAGCTGTCAAACAAATTTGACACATATAGACATATTTCACCGTAGGACTTACAAATTGTTAATAATGTTAGAGGAAAATATCGATCTAATCTTTCGGGATAAGTTAAAGCTTTTTTTTTTTTTCAACCTTCTGGCCGTAGACATGTAAGTCATCACTAAGTTTCAACTTGAATGGAAAAAAAAAAAGCATTTATTTCTCACTCCGTATAATGGTGATCATAATAATAACGTTCTGCAAATAAGCGTAACTGACGTAACAGTTTGCCTAGGATGTGACCGATTGGTAGCGTAGCATTAATACTACAGTTGTCGCTGGAAGGCCACTATAGTGATATGCACGCACTCCTTAGGGATTGTGCATTAGGATTCAACGTTAACGCGTTACCAAAGGCAGGAATCGTTGTCGGTCTATCGACCTATCTGCAGTCTACCAACAAAGCAGTCAGCATCAGCGGTGTCTCTATGGCGCGCCGCTACGCAATTTTGTGCGTCAGCGCCAATCGCAGTGATCGTGCATGTAACAGCACTTTTCATTCCTGCAGGGAAACCGCTTGGCCGGCTGGTGACGCTCAGCGATTCTGCTCCAAGCCTTTTTCTCAGCGGCGGCGGCAGCGGTTTCAAGTCGGTGATGTCTGTTCGTGGCAATGGTTATGTCCGTCCGTCTGCGCTGCCTGTGTCTGCCCACCGAGTCTTGTGCTACGGGACTTCTGCCCCGCACCCGGAAACAGCAGCGGCATTACATCGAATAGATAAATACTGCAATGCGTGGTGAGCTTCGCTCTGGTGGACCTCCGTCACGGGAACGCGATGTGGGTGGCATCACGAAGTGAGGAGCACCGTGCACTGCTTGCTTTGGTTCGGTCGCGAGGAGACTGCGCGAAAACGGCCGGCTCCCGCTGTTGCTGCCACTACTGTTGACTCTGTTTACTGATCTGTGGTCGCTGGAGAACCGAAGAAGCGAAATTGCTAGTGGCCATGGTGGGGATTCACGGACTATTTCTAAAATCTGCAGAGACGGACACCGCACACACAGCACCAAGGCAAGCAGTAGCAATATTACCAGGCTTCGATCTCTGTGTGCTGATCTAAAGTGCACTCATACTGTGACATGGCAGCTATTTGTCTGCCTGCCTGCCTGTGTCTGAATATATAGGTGTATGTTTTTATAGCGTAAAAGAGGGCGAAATGGCCAGTGGAAACAGTCATAGAAATCATAGCAGAAAGGATCCATTCGCATAACGCGACCACTTCAACCAACAATGGAATCCGAACGAACTGAAATTTCCATAGATGCTGATCTGACGTCTACACGCATTGGTCTGAGCTGGTTGATCTGATTTCTTTGCAGCGAAACGGCGTCCTAAACGAGCGACTGGAACATCGCATGGAAATGGGCTTATTATAATAACATACCGCAAGATCAGAAATGTCTGCGTAATTATGCCACTGTAGTGGCAATACGATAAGGTCTGTAAAGAGATTTACTGCATAACCTCACAGTGCATCCAGTTTAGTTTTGCTGGAACACCTTTTTCTAACATATCTAGCCGAGAAGATGAGTGACTCGAAGCGAACAGCTAACTACCTCATTCCCCCACCATATGGTCTACGTTTATAATTCGAATAACTCAAATATTCTACTCAGCGTACAAAAATAGGCAGATAAATTCGCTTAGGTAGCTTGAAATCCTTTCCTATCGCAACGGAACTGACGGCTCTCAGCCTTTAGACTGACGTTACTTATGAAACAGTTAATCGATATAGTTGTGGCTACCACTATTAATGCTAAAACGCTCCTCCTTGAAAAAAGAAGCTCTCTTTGCGATAGCATATGCTGCTATTGGTTATAGTTATGAAAGTAGCTCGAGACGCGTCCTTGGGCCAGATGCAGTCGGCTTGATGAAGCGGCACAAGTCCTGTTCTATAGGGCCCCGAATTTAGCGGTAGTAGTAGTTAGTAGTAGTGGTTAAATCAAGGTAAATACAATTTCGATCGTTGCGGAAAGTTGTGTTCTATCGGACGATTTCTGGTCCGGTGGTCGGCTCTTGAGGCCGCCGGGCCTGACCTTACCTTAAGCTGTTCTAGTAGCCATTGTCTTTAAAGAGGCTTCACAGAACGGCATCAAAGACGCTAGACGAAATACGACAACATAGTCAGGCATTGAAATACGGCAGCACTTGCAGCCGTTAGCTCTGCTATGATGGACGGAATTATGTCTGGCTTGTTAGATACAGATGAGGGTAAACCGCAATCATTATCGTTGCTGAACACCGCGGAATTATACAGCTGATAAATTTAATTAAGATTAGATAAATAAAAAGAGCGGCGTTAATGACGAACAAATATGGCGAGTTGTAGCTGGTTATGGATAGACAATGCGCTTGACGTCTTCATTGTTCCGTTGAGTAAAGTTGCTGTCCAATGTTCAATCCTATGTATTAGCCTACGGTAACTCGGGACGAAGCTGGGCGAAGCGAGCGAGTGAAACTCAGTCCTATAGGGCGAAATAAATGTAGGAATTGAAGAATACGTCACAGTCGTAGTTAGAGACAAATATTTTATCATTTTCCGTGTTCGTTTTCTTTTAATGGGACATTTCACGTTGGTGTTTTTACATCGTGGTGCATTCCAACATAAACAACTCAACAGATATAGCAGACGATTATAACAAAAAAAGCAATATAAGCACGGAAGATTAACTCGAAGAAAAATCAATAACGACCACATAAATACACAAACGAACTTTGCTGTCGAACTCGTTTTTCTTAACGATCTCATAGTAAACGCAACTCGTTTAAAGCTCGATGGGCACTGGCATTCCGAGATGCTGCAACTAACGACAAACATAAGAGGTGACACTTCACAGTTGTCCAAATAAAGAACGATATCTTTTACTTATAGGATGAGGCGTGCATGGCCGCACGCACCAATCCAACCGCACTAGAAATAAGGCCACAACAAAATGGCCTGTTACGTTCGAGACAATTAAAGATTGTGGTAGAATCGCCGTGGTGTTACGGAGTAGCGTCGATAGGATCGGGTCTCGAGACCGATTGAGCCTCGATCGCAGCTACAGAGTGGGCCGTTAACCTTACCATAACAAATAACAAAAAGGAAGAGAACTCGGCAAGCAAACAGCGCGATCACGCACATTGCCAACTCTGACGGATTACGCGTGTCGCCTCCCGTCAGTCTCGATCTGAGGGACGCCAGACAACTTAGCGTCAGATTCAGTCCTTCCTTTCGAGCTTCATAAATGAACACGTTTTTCCTCATATGAGAACGTTTTCTTAGAGTTTCCTTAGGAGCAACTTTTGTTTTTAATTTGGGTCAATAGCTACGTTATCGTTCGGGATGCAGCGCTTTGCTGCTGTTTTGGGCTTCGGATCTAAGAGATGTTGAGGTATCAATACCATCCTGGCGATTTTAGTAATGAGACAAAGACGACAGCGTCATTTTAAATAAAAGTTAAAACATTTATTTTGACAAAAGTGAACAAATAATTCAACGGCAACAGTGGAATAACATCGGCTCCTTGCATGCTCAAAGATGTAACTAAAAACCTTAAATGCTAACGTATAAGCATAACGATATAAGAACGGAGACGTATGGTACTTTGACAAAACGAAATTCAATCTAAGTTGAACGTTTCATCTGTTGATGCTGGAATTGCTCATTGTCACTTCAATGGTCTTCCACCGTCGCTATATACAAGGGGGAAGCGTATATAATAAGTTAAATAATAATAATCATCGTTATTATTATATTTCCAGCATCCCCTTTAACTATTCGAATGGTTCGCTTGTCATATTGCACGCATTATCCTTGCTGGACGCGCATGACAACTGTCGGCCGTCGTATCACTGAACAATCACAAGGCATTAATCAGATCGGTTACCTGTTTAATACAAGATCGTAGTTGCGCTTACATAATTTTTGACAGCCATCCGATAGAACACGCATGTCCTTTCGCCATGTTGTTAAATTATCACATACGAAATATTACACGTAGTGTATACCAAAGAGACATACATTTGGCAAAGGCTGCTAAATTTGGACAATATCGCTACACACTGTTTGGTTTTTTTTTTTTTTTTTCGTTAGACAGCGTCTGTAAACATGTACATGCATCTGACACGGAGAATAGGTCATTATTATTATGGGTGTTATTATAATATCACGTGCAGGGAAGATACTTAGGGCTTACTGCGTCGTCTATAAATAGGTATTGTTTTAAACGTATAAAAGCGTTTTAAACATTCAAGATATCTTAGGACAAATTATGAGGTTAGATCGTGCAGATCTATCAGCCTTTGTCATCAGCACTTCATAGCTTTCGCTTCTGTCTACTAACATACAACAGATAAAACCCAAGTCTACACCATGTATAGAATAGAAATGCGGCTGCACATGACTGGCAGATTAATTACTTACGCGATGATAGGGGTGTTTTCGGGGGGGTTGGCAATATTGACGCATTTCTTGGCCTTAGCGACAGGACTAGCAGTGAGGTTAGACTGCACTCGGGACGTTTCGGCGTTTCGCTGTTGCTGCTGCTCTTGCTGTTGTGTTTGGTCAACCGGGGCCGCATGCGGAGATCGTCCGTCCCCCGCGTTGGCCAGCACAACCATTCTGGGTGTCGTATCCAAAAGGAAGGAAAACTGACTGATTGGGCGCGAGCGGCCTTACAGCAAAGGGAAGAGTACCTGTTTCGCTCCAACGCGATAATACGAACGACAGTTACAACAGCTGCCGCGGGGACGACTTCAAATAGTGCTTGTTGCAACGGTAGAGGTTATAGCAATTCTTATGACGACAGAACAATATGTAGGGGACACCAAGACACAGAGCCGAGTCCTTTCTGGCGTTTGCTACTGCTTCGATGAACACTTCAGCAGTAAGTAGAACGAGACGTTAGTAGATTAGCTCGTCGCGCGCTTTCTTTAAAGCACACACTGAACAAAACAGCCCCCCCGCACACACACACACGCACGCACACACACGCACGCACGCACGCAGATGAACAACTATGTACTGGGTGCGAATCCACGAGCGGCAACGTTTTTATGGCGCTCACGGTTTTGAGGGAACAAACCGGAAAAAAGAAGTGAAAGAACGAGGCAGGTGGCCCTTGAGCTAAAAGTGAACAGAGAAGTGAATTAAGGCAACTATTGAACACTCACGGTTCTTTATTTAATAGAGGCTTTTTCGGGAGTCACACTTCACGAGACCCATTTTGCCGCAGGTTCAAGCAAGCTGTTGGCCAGGTTAACAAACATCGTTTTTGCTTTGGATTGTTCCACTTAAAGTGAAACGAAAAAAAGTTGGTCCGACAACAATGCTAATTGATGGTTTACCAACAGTGCGCTACGGGTCGGACGCTTTCGAAGGAGGAACTCTAATCTTTTCACAAATTGCTGGTATCTGGCGCCAATAATAGCGGCAGATATAAGCTGAACACGACACGCAAGGGTACACCAAATGTAGCTTCGTAAAGTCGCACTACGGGCATAGATTCCAAATACGCTCTACTTTCAAAGACTGAAGAGGGCGCCTGGCCGTTTTTCTTTTGTGGATCACTGGACCAAAGCTCACGCTAGTCCGTAAAGTGGCCGTAGGGAGCTCTCGGGTTCTGTGGTAAACACAGAATAGCGTGAGGAAACGGTCTCGAATTCGGGTTGGTAGCACCCAAGGGACAAAGCTTCTAGTTGAGGGTTGACGAGGCTAATGATTAAGCCAGAACTGCTTCATGTCGCAGGCGCTATGCACATGCTTTGTTGCAGTTTGTAATGGATCACAGTGGTGGATCCTTTCTCTTCGATCAAAGCTACCAAAAGCTTAGCCAACGAACGTACAAACTCAAATTCAGCTATAATTTACGAGTGTTTTCATTAGGGGCACTTCAGCTCAGAGTACGACTGTACACGTAGGTAAACGTTTATATCGTAGAACGATTCATGTTGCGACATGTAGTGCGAACTTTATTTAATTCTTCCTTTTCTTCCTTTTCTAGCGTTGGCTGACTCTAATCGAGCTAGATACACACACACTACGTTACACAAACTCACGCACACACAGAGACGACGATGCTGCTGCTGCTGCTGCTGCTAGGGGCCCTGACGGGGCAAAATAGCTTAAATAGTGATAGTTAGTGATTGGCAGACAACGCGAGGCTGAATAACAACGGCGTTCCTATAGCGCTTCTTCGTATTGTTCGGTGTGAAGCTACTGCCACGCGCGGTCATATACTGTAACGCGCTTAACAGTTCGTGCAGTAATTTAGATATCGAAAATAACAGAAGATAGAGACAACACCGGGACTAGCAAGCGATATTTCTGTTGTCTCCTTGTCTGCCGCCGTACGGCTCAACTACATACAACTCTGTTATCGCCTCACTTCGACACTTTCGACCGTTCTGTGTCGATTCGTCGTCGCGTTCCGGCCAAGATGCTAACACCAATCAACCAACCTGCCTGCCTGCCTTCAAGCACCATGACCGCTGCCAGCAAGCGGCGCGCGGAGAGGGCGCAGCCTCAGACAAGGGCTCCGACGGAGGCGAGAGAGCAACTGACTAACATACTGTCAGATGGAGTACAACAGAGCAAAGCAATACCCATCGAGGTAGATACAAGGTCAGTACAGCGTGAGACAACACATATAGCACTGCCAACGCAGGCAAATAAAGAAACAGAGATGCCGCTGCTGCTATTGCAATTTTTGACAGTAGTTATATGCTATGTTCTGGCTTGCGTAAACCGCCGTGCAAGATACCATAGGGTGGATAGGATATATTCAGAGGCAGACAAGACTGCGTCTGAGAGAGGCCAACCATAGCCACCTTAAAGGGAGAACTAGTTTTGTCGCGGTGGCTGATGAGCGGTAGAAACAAACCCGCAGGAGTGGCGTCCCTCCTTGCAATGCGCTCCATATTTAATCAAGCCCTCTCTTCTTATGGGATACGAAAAGCAAGAGACACCAGGAAAAACGCTATGTCGAATTAGCGCAATAAGTGCGCGACGGGTGTCTGTGAGCACATACCATATGGTTTACAAGTACATATGTATAGACACGGCGCCGCGATGCCAGTATGGTCATACGGCACTAGTCGATCTAGGACGCTTAGGACTATGCTGGACGATGTTATGAAAAAAGTTCATATTTAAGCGTTAAAACCACAAGTTGAGTTACGGTAAGGTTATGCGGAGATACATTCGTCTTAGATAAAAGAAGAACCTAACAGAAACTCGAACTGGACTCACGTGGGAGAATTGATTTAGGGAAAACTCATACTCTCAATAAATAGTTACTTCATAATAATAATAATAATACGATTGCATTGTATATATGTCGGATTTCGCCATGAATTCGAAAATGGTAAAAGCCAGAGATAGTATCTCAATACTCAGATATGCATATACAAATATGTGTAATTCACGTTTCCCTTGCGTTTTCTTCATAATAGCTTTGACTTCAGAGCCACGTATCGCGGGTTTATAATAACGTTTATATAAAATAGTTGGCCATATAGTCTATCAAATACAAGCAACGATTCGTCTTCCTTTCACCTAGCTCCAGATACTCACAGCTCTTATTCTATAAATCCATAAACATAATGTGTATCTATAATCATCTATGAAGACGCGAGCATGTAGCTCACAAAAGCTCTAAAGGTTTCCCTACCCTTAAAGACCTCCCTTTTAACTAAAAAGAAATTTAGCCTACACAAAATCGCGTTCCTGCAGGCTGCTTTGACTGACAACCCGTCAAGAGGCATCAGCGCATATGCAAAGCTGTGAAAAGCTTGAGCACAAAAAATAAGTAGACTTTTTGATGAAGCGCTGTCGGAGGGCATTTCATCGTCCGACCTAGAACGGGCAGTGGAATCATGGATGTAACAAGGCATCACATCCATATACACGACGACTTTATGCACTTCTGATTTAATAAATGCCTTCGTTATCTGGTTTAGCTATCATATCTGCATGCGTGGCACCTTGCTTTTTGCCTATCCGTCCTAAAAGATGCGTTTTAAGATATATCAAAGGAAGTTGTCTTGATCGTACGTCATATCTATTTTTTTTAGGATGATCGTTGATAGTATTAGAGCTACTAATGGAATAATGAGTAATGATAACGTAAGATACCATTCATTACTTTCTAACGCGAATGAGTGAAACAAACGAGTCGAATGTAAAATTGTTCCAGGTGACCAGTGCTCTGTAATCGCAAAAGCGGGACGGTAGAGTCAGCCATTCCACCCCCCGGAGTTTCTCTCCGGCGGGTCTCTAAGCATCGCGTTTTTTTCTTTTAGGGTCTTTCTCTATTCCCTTTCGCAGCCCTCTATTTTTCTGCAAACACAACTTCAACCATGATGTGTATCCAGTCTTTTACCCTCCACTCGCTGCAGAATTCGAGCCCAACAGTTATCTCAGCTATCGCTTTACGATGGCCTCTTGTCCTTTGGGGGACCTTTCCCCCTTATTCGGAGCCGGAGTCTGTGGTTGGCCGCCATCCGCTTTTAAATTCTGAGCCATGCCTGCCCAACCCACGAGTGTCCCTATCGGCTCGGGGTTCCGGTTGTGGTCCCTCGCCACTACCGCCGGCTGCGCCGCTATCGCAGTCGCCAGGCTTACATCCATACGGGATACGAGAGCGCCGCTGCTGCTGCTGCCGCCGCCGCCGCCGCCGCTGGCCGGTCTTTGCGTGTCTGCTATTATCTCTGATCGGCGACGAGTGCGAAGGACAGATCAGGATCGTCCTCTATTGGGAAAGGGACACAAGAACCCTACAAGTTCAGCACGCTTGACGTTAGGATATCGTCCGTACCGGACCTGTCCGTACAGGACATACCTTTTCCTCTGTTTTGACTGTCATCCTCAAGACTATTCATTTCAGTCAACCTTTGCCTAAATTATCTTCTCTATTAAAAACCTACAGATGAAGATCAGGCGTCGGATAGAACAGAGAAAAGACACATATAATTGCAGATTCTTTATTTTATCTGTAAAAATCTTTAGACGAGCGAGTCGTCGATTGTTTTACGTCAGTTATTCATTTACTCCCTGAATTGCCTACGCATAGTTATTTACCAATATTATGCTCTTCTTTTGGGCATTTGCTTAGAGATGATCTCTATATAAAATGTGTTAGGCTGCTTGGTTCAGAGGATTTGGATGAATGCTGATAATACACAAACAAGCCACCAATTGCAACTTAAATTTGAAGAGCCACCTCGCTCCAAATATCTCGATGGCTACCACTGTAGCAAGGAACAAAACTTTGCACTCAGCTGACACTATAATCACAACAACTTTCGCAATGAACTTTGCAACGGGCACGCACGCCACGAGCCATGTCTAATTGGCCGATCTTTCCTTAACTGAATAGTGAAAAAAATAGTCTCGGCGAAGTCCCGTGTGAGACGTATCAGACCTATTAGCGAACTGCTCTGCTTAATGGAAGTGCAAGTATTGCCTCAGGGGGCCTGGCTGTTGTGCATTGGCAGCAAATCAGTTAAAATGCGGGAGCGGTCCAGAACACTCGATCGTGATCGACAAGAGGTACTAGGTCCCTTCTAAGTGATCTAGTACCTCTTCCGGTGAGCCCTCACTTGAGGGGTACATCTTAATCCGTTAAACGCATTGTCTGATGTCGAATTCCTGCAGACCGTACGAGTATATGATGATATAGATATATTGTTTATCCACTTGGAAAAAATCACCTTATCCATATGGCTAAGGTGTGAGCTATCTTTTGATGCACAGCAGCGAGCAGTTCAGAACGTATGGCTAATGTGGTGCTATCAAAAAGACATTCAATTCAAAATCAACACGCTGATTATCACTAGTTGGAACGATCAACGTATTCAATTTCCCAGTGAATTACTGAAACGTATCCGAAATATAAACATTACACAAGTGTTATCTTTCCCGCTGGTTTTGGAACAGAAGAAAATCTTGGGCCGGTACTTGCTTAGATATTACTTCAGCTAAATAATTTTTTTCTGCAGGGCACAATTGGGGCAAAGTGATGTAGCTTGTATATGTACAAATTGCATCTAACAAAAAATAGATATTCAGCTAAACAAATCTCAGGTTTCTTAATTAGCGAAAAATACGTCAAATAGTTATCCTCTATATTGAAACTCATTGACGTTTCCTTCAAACATGCTATATATATCTATCTATCTATCTATATATATATATATATATATATATATATATATATATATATATATATATATGTATATATATACAGGCTATTTTACTAAAAACCCATTTTGGTAACTTACTAGTATTTTTACCTCCGTTTTCTGCTTCGTGGAATTGTTTGCCAATGGCCTTACTCTATGCACTATAATTCTTTTTTAATAACTTGAAAAAAGATGCCACATATGACACAGCCTTCACTTCTTTATGTTTTTTAAGACATGCGCAAGAAATGTACTTCCAGCCAAAATGAAAACACCTTTTGAACAATAGATAGACCCACTGCGTTGGTTTTTAACTAACTTACAGAACAGCAGTGAAGCTTTCTCATTGGACACGAATCCAGACGATCGCATATGTTTAAAGTTGCTTTACAGAATATCACAAGCAGAAAGTCTTTTTTTTTTTTAAACTGTTTCGCCTCTAGCGCTTTTCTGTCTGACTTTTATCAAACGAAAAATGGATCTGAGATTTCTTTTTACTTATACAACATGCATGTTTTTAAAAAGTAACCTCTCAGTCCCGACTAAATTTGATTTCTTTCGAATGCTGGATGCGCGCATCCCCTCTACAGTAACTTCTTTCTAATTCAACTCCTTTCTAATAAAGAAAGAATTTCGTACCTTTACAGTGTCTCGGTAGAGACATAGCGATTATAGTGGTTTAGTACAACTATTAGAATCATTCACTATAACTCCTTGCTTTGATCCTCCTAACAAGCGATCACTTACCTGTAAAAAATGAAAGGGTAATGTTAGCGCACTGAACCTAAAACTATGTCTACGATATCTTTGCATGTCCCGCTTAGCAAAAAAAAAAAAAAAAATAGATGTTCAGAGGTAGAAAACGTCAAGGAACTTGTTAACTAGCACGGTTTGTTCATGGGGATAGGTACAATAGCCAATTTTACCCAACGAAAACTTTAGAAGGGATTACTTAAACATCAAAAGCAAGTTCAGGAATATACAATTTAATCAATGGGACTCTCACTCATCCGAAATATTTCACCGAGTGCTGTGAGCCATTCACAAATATTCCTTAGCGTTAGGCGTTATTTCAGATGGTTGGCTCCCAGCATGAAATCTAGGATTTAAGCCTTTTTAGAAGTTTGGAAGGCAAGCACGTTTTCCACTACGCGATCTATTCATGTATAGCACGCTGCTGTTACTACTAGTCCAGGTAGTCTATGCAGGACTGCCAGGCTATCTAATCTTGACAATCCGCATCGGTCGACGTACTTTGCAAGAAATTAGAGCAAATTATGACATAAAAGCGAGAACTTGAATATTAGTTCTCAGGGCTGAGATAAAAATGTTCTGCATCTGTAAAGGTAGCGGGAAACTTTCGAAATGCACCGCGATTGCGATAGATTGCGTCAGATTCGCCGCTGTTAAGGCGTCAATTC